CCCCCCCCCCCCCCCCCCAGCCATACCTGCTGCCCTGAGACCCGGCGGGCCAGGCGGAGAGGCTGCTGCAGAGAGCTCTGCGCCCCAGGTCCTTGCTGAACCCTTCCACACCCACTGCCCACAGTGGGGAGGGCCACGTCCAGCCACATTCAGCCTGCATTCGGGGTCCACAGAGAGCAGGCTGCGGGCAGCGGGGGCCGGTCTGGATGCTCCAGTAGTCCCGGGCCCCAGGGACTCCCCAGGTGGAAGTCTGCTCTCCTTCCCGTCTCTGAAGAGACCACCACGTGGCACGTCTTCACCTGACCAGCCAGCTGCATATACCTGCTGCCTGTGCATGCTTACAGAGAGCAGGCAGCCTGAAAGGCGGGGAAGGACCTTCCAGCGTCAGAGGAAGCCTGTTTGGTCTGCCAATGGGAAAGGGTGACACCTGCCTCCTGCATTTGCAGTCGTGGGTATAAAACCAACATAGAAAACAAGAAGTGGCAGGAGTTCCACCTGTGGGAACACAGGCCGGAGGGCGCTGCGGGTGATAGTAACCCTGTCAGAGTGGTCTTGGGTCCAGAGCTGCGCCCACCTAAACACACCGGCACACCCGTGGGCGCCATGGCCCAGACAGGCCATAGGCTGCAAGGAATGGCAGTGTGTGGGACCCATCAGGGGTCCCTGTCTCTCGTAGGGTACAAACAAAACACACACACACGCACACCTGCGTGCTCGCACACATACACACAGGGAGAGAGAGACTGTGGTCTCCAGAAAGCCTTCAGAAACGCCTGTCTAGAGAAACTGACAGAACTGCTTTGGGGGCAGGAAAGCCAAACTTCAGTAAAGTTTTTTTCTCACCAACAAGAAATTCATGAAAAGCCAGCCCAGGGCTGGACAGTGGCCGGGGATACGCTCAGGGCCTCAGACTCCTGCTCAGCGGTCCAAGCGTACTGGACAGCCCCTCCGTGCCCGCGAGGCGGCCTGGGCCGCACACCGGGCAGGTGGGGTGGAGGCGATGGCGCAGGTAGACGCCCACCATGCACTCGTCCTCCCTTTCCATACCACGGGGCACGCGCGTGTGCGACGTGAGCACAGGAGACCTGGTCACACCGCAGCCCTTCCTCTGAGGCTCCATCCGGCGGGCGTCCTGGTGTCCTGGGCCTGTGCCACACGCTGGTGCTGGAGGTGTCCGGCTGGGACTAGAACCCGGCCAGCCCTGTGGGGCCCAGTGCCCTCTGCCCAGCGCTTAAGCACTGTACTCTGGGGCTCTGCGTCCTTTTGAGGAGCCACTGGTAGCCACTCCCACTTCCTTGTCCTCGGCAGGCGAGGCGGTCTGGGAAGGTGGAGGACGGCCCCGGCATGTCAGATCCCGGCGCCAAGCCCCCAGCACGAAGGATACTGGGGCACGTCTGTGCGACTCCTCCGGGGTCTCCGGCACTGCTCACCGCGCAGCTCCTCAGAGAGATTTCTCGCAACCGGCTCAGCTGACTGCAAGGCAGAGGGAGCATGGGTGTGTGACACAAGCGTGCACATGAGTGTGCACACAAGTGCGTGTGTCGCTGGCACGCAACAGAATAAGGACACACTTCAGGCACACAAATGGTTACCAGGAGTCACACACGCCAGGACCCACCCCGGAAGGAGGAACGAGACGTTACCGAAGAGGAGGGCGGCAGTCTGAGGCCGGTCTCCCCACAGCCCCTCTGCAGCCCCTAGGGCTTATGCTGCAGTGGGTGGTGCACCGTGAGGCCCTCTCACTACTGCCACCAATGTCCACACCCCTCACAGGGGCCACTGTCCATCTTGTGAGCCCGACAGAAAGGCCGCTTTCAGGGCTTCCTGCACTCCACCTCCCTCCCGGTCAGCAGGGAGAGCCCACTCTGTGGAGCCGCGGGGCTCCAGGAGGCTGGCTGCACCTACACCCTTCTCTGCAAACAGACTACGCGGACTTCCTGCGGTGCTGGCCTGGCGCTCGGGGCTGCTGCTACACTCGTGTTCACGCCTCTGCAGGGGACACCGAGACTACGCCAGCAGTGCCCTGAGGTATTTCGAGGGCCCATTTGTGAAATGCAGAGGACCTGGCTGTCGATCGGTTAAAGGAATGTACGTGGCATTTTGTTTAAGAGCTCAGAACCCGGAGCCAGACTGCCCGGGCTCAAACCCAGTCCCATCACCCTGTGGTGTTGGGGAAATTAATTCATCTCTCTGTGCCTGAGACTTCCCGTCTTCAGAACGTGTGGCCTGCCCGAAGCGCATGGTGGCGCTCGTCACGGCAGCCCAAGGTAAGACAACCCTCGCACCGAGGACCGGAGAAGGGCGAACAAGCGCTGCGTGATTGAAATGAAATACTGCAAAGGAAAAGGGGCTGGGCCCCAGGCGGTGCCCTGAAGGTGCTGGGCTTCCCCGGAGCCCACGGTTACAGTCAAGACCCAGCAGAAAGTCACAGCAGGTGTGTGTGCGCATGTGCCCCAACCCCGACAGGAGCCTGGGAGAGAAGGGACTGCAGTGAGGCCATCCCCCAGGGGGTGATGTCTCACCTTCCCTGTCTCTTTCTAGTGAGAGCATGAATCCTGTGGCAAACACCCTACGAAAGTTTTTGACGGGGCCAGCAGGTGGCGTAGTGGTTAAGGTGCTGGACCCCTGGATGGCTGACCACAGTTTGAGTCCTGGATCCAGTGCCTTGAAAATCACATCAGACGTGTGTAAGCGCATCCCCACAATCCCAGGAGACTGCAGAAGGGATCGTGGCGTGTCCCCTCCTGGGGAGCGGTGTCCCACTTTCCCTCTCACTGTCTCTTTGGCTAGCACACTCACCTTATGGAAAAAAAAAAAAAAGAAAACTTAAGGAAAAAGAAAAACACAAAGCCTGTGGGGCCAGCTGGTAGCAGGGAGATTAAGGGGCTGGATCCACATGCCCAACTACGCGGTTCAGTCTGGGGCTCAGCTGCTAGAGTCGAGCCAGGCACACGTGCGTGCCCAAAAGCCTGAGAGGAGGCTGGAAGAGAAAGGACTGTGGTGTGGCCACCTCCCCTGGGAGAGGGGGTGATTTCTCACTTGCATGCTCTCTCTCTAGGAGTGCACATGCCCTCTAGCAAAAACTAAAGAGGAAAGCAAAAAAAGCTGCTTTAAAACATGCTACAACGCAGATGAACCTGCAGCTTACACAAGTGAACTGTACGCTTAGAAATAGTTCAGAAGGCTATCTGAGATATGTGCATTTTGCTACAATTTTTAATGGTAGAATTATGTGGTGAGTTACTACCGTGAAGCTCTCAGAACACCTGTCCGGAACACAGTCAGTAACTACGTACGCATTTATAAATACCAGCGTAAAACTGACTGCATTTGGGGGAAATGCCAAGACCACTGCAAACTAGAGCTAGCAAACCCTGGGAACAGGAGAGGCAGCGGGCACAGTTCTGGGGTGGAAGCTCCCAACGTCCTCAGGGTCCACGTCTCCGTGATGTGTCAGTGTGCGCTGCGCAGTTAGGGCGAGGAGACCGAGTGGCACCGCACACGCCACCCTGTGTCTGCTGAGCCGCACAGCTCACCACACCTGCCGCCTCCGCTTCCTGTTCCATGCTGACTTGCAGGAGAGGCCTGCTTTTACCACATAGTGGCACGAAACCCCACTTTGCAGGGACATGACATCATCGGCGGGAAGCACGGGAATCCCCTGAAACTGGGAGCCTCCTCAAGGTAGTACTCTGTACCACGGCTGAGGGAGGTCACTGTTTTCCAGAAAAATTGAAACGCCCACACTGTGGGGACAAGCTGGCCCAGAGCTCAGAGACATGGTCTCAACACCCAAATGCCAGCCTCGTTACTGATGTGTGAACACGGGACAGCAGGTGTAAACTCTAACATGGACAAATCGCTGTTTCAACCGCCATCTAGAAATAGCCACCACCCTCAGCTAAAACGAAGGTTTTCATTTCCCTGAACACTCAATGCTGGGATTCCTCGGATTTCGACTTGCGGTGTGGAGGAAAAGAAGAAAGCAGTTTGTGAGCCCTGACCGCTGGCGTGCAGTAAGTGGACTTCAATCCTAGGCCCTGCTGCAGCGTCAGTCAGTCCACCAACGCCACCTCCACTCACCTTTGCTGTTTTGCAACAGAGTCAAAACCAACAGTCTCCACGGGTTTGTTTCCAAAGGTAACAGTCTGCTCTCGTGCGTCTTCTGGCCCATCTTCTAACACATAGCGGTTCTTGACTGCAGTGAGAAAGTCTATTCCAAAGTTGACTTTGTTTGGACGAATAAAGGACCCTCCTGTTGGGTGCCTGATAAGGGAGGGAAATGAAGCGTGGGAAGTAGTGTACAACCACACAGACCTCAGCTGCAATGTCCTGAAGACTATGAAAACTTCCATATGGTGAGAAGTCAGAATCAGTATAAAAGGGAAGATTACGTGCCAAAGAAAAATGTATAGGGGCCAGCAGGTGTTGTGGAGGTTAAGGGTGTTGTACTCCTCCACATGGCTGGCCACAGTTCAAGACCTGGCCCTGGCGGCTTGCTTTCTCACTTTCTTTCTCTCTCTTTGGTGAGCATGTGTGTCCTATACAAAAATTTAAAAATAATTAAATTAATATATTTTTTAATGTATAATCAATATGACAGATCATAAAGAGTTAAAATATAAAATGCAACCTTGTAAAAGCCCTAGAGATAAACAGACTAGAAATACAAAACAGATAATTCACATCAGAGGATACAAAAGCATTAATATCCATCGGTGAAAATTCTACCTTGCTAATGATTGAGAAACACAAATGAAACTATTTTCAAAAAAACTGGCAATAAATACAGAAAAACCATAAACCTCATGGACTGTAAGGTTGGGCTCATCTAAAATTGGATAATCGTGCTCCTGGGAACCTGTCAGCAGACAATATTAAAAGAAAACTGTACAGGGGCCAGAGGGGGAGGGGTGGTTAGGGCATGGATGCCGTGGCCAGCTGCTGTGGCCAGCTACAGTTTGAGTCTCAGACCTCGCAGCTTGAAATCAGGCCCGGCATGTGGGTATGCATGCTGAAAACTCCAGGAGGAGAATGGAGAGAACAGATTGTGACGTGTCCACCTCCCCACCCCGGGGCAGGGTGTGATTTCTCATTTTCCATCTCCTTGGCAAGCACAGGTGCCCTACAGCAAAAATCTAAAAAAAAAAGAATTATGAAAATTTTGTACAATACCATTTATTTTGACTGGAGGAACTCTGAAAATCATAAAAAGAACTAGCTGGATAGGAACTACTAAGGAAGCCAGACCAGACCGACTCAGTCATTTAAAAGTTCTATCCGTGGGGCCGAGCAGACGCACAGCAGTTACGGCGCTGGACCCCACATGGCCAACTGAGGTTTGAGTCCCGGACCTGGTGGCTTGAAACACACTGGACATGTGTATGCGTGCCCAAGATCCCAGGAGAATGGAAGGGAGGGACTGCGGAGTGGCCGTCCCCCGGGAGGGGTGTGTTTCTCACTTCCCCTCACTCTCTCTGCCTCTATTTCTCTCCAGCAAGTGCATGCACCCTAAGGCAAAAACCTCTCAAAAAAAGTCTTATCTGTAATACTTAAATACTTACAAAATAATCTTGAGTTTTTAAAAAAATTTTAAGACTTCTTTTTTTGCTATAGGGCATGTGTGCTCACCAGAGAGAGAGAGAGGGAGACAGAGAGTGAGAAAGACAGAAAGAAGGAAAGTGAGAGATCACCACACCTCCCCACCCCTGAGAGGACGGCCATGTCATAATCTCTTCTCTCGGAATTTAGGGCACACACACACGTGCCTGGTGTGACTTCTAGGATACTGGGTCCAGGACTCGAACCACAGAGGAGGCAACGTGGGAGCCAGCGCCTCTACCATCATACTACCTGCTAACCCAATAATGCTGAGATTTTTTAAAAGGAGAATATAAACTGTACAACAGAGGAATAATATCTCCGAGTGGACAATGGCTGTAAGAACACGAGGACTGAAAACACCCACGGTGACAGCACTGTATACGAGTCTTTTAAACAACCAGCCGCACCTGCAGCTGGCCCACAGTCCGATGTCTAAGGGCGCTGCTCCCGGATGGCCAGAGAGGCTTGGAAGCCCAGGCCCAAATCCTGACAGGGCAGAGATGGAGGAGAAGAGACTGAAGCGAGACTGCCCACTGGGGATGCTTGCTCTGTCGGAGTGAGTACACCCCTGGCTTATCAACAGCAAACGCATGTGGGGTAAAACAGACCGTGGAGAAGGAAGTCTACAGAAATATATCGCATCATCAGAAAAGTCATGACACATTTTTTACATAGAGAAACATGTTTTAATTTAACTTTATGTATTTATTTATTTTAATTTGACCAGAGAGGAACAGAGTGAGAGTAATAAAAAAAAAGAGAGAGTGAGAAAGTAAGCCACCAGGTCCAGGAACTCAAACCACAGTTGATGTGGGAGTCCAGCGCCCTTAACCACGATGCCACCTGCAGGCCCCTAGAAAAACATTTTTAAAAAGTCATGACTTTCGGGGGGACCAACAGTTAGCATAATGGCTATGTTGCTAAACTCCCATGTAGCTGAGTCCTGGACCCGGTGGCTTAAACTCACACCAGGCACGTGTGCGTGCATGCCCAAGATCCTAAGAGGAGAATGGAGGAGAAGGGATTGCGGCGTGGCCACCTCCCCTGGGGTGTGTGTGGAGAGCAGCCAGTTTGAAAACACGTGGCCTGTAGACACGTGCAGAAACACGTGCTTCCGGAAGCTACTCTAGCAGGGCTCTGAGACGCAGCGGCAGAGGAGAGCAGCATCTGCTTATTGTCAGTGGTTGTCTTCCTGCTGTTGTTGATACCCAGTACCCCAGTACTGCCCAGTATCGGGCTAAAGTGAAGTCACAAGCGTTTATGAGATTGTCCCCCCCAAAATTATTTGGTGCCAGTCACTTTCACATCTTCAGACGATTTACATCCCAAAACAACTGGCTCTGCATTCCAATTTCTCCTCCCTTATTTTCTTTGCATTCCACTTCCTTCTTCCCCATTCCTTCTGCATCCTATTTCCTGCCCTTTACTGTAAAAGAATAAACCTGAGGCTGGTTCTGGTCGCAACGTCTGCAACAGAGCAGCTGTGCCGCCCGACCCTTGCTTTTCTGTACCTGTGAGTCTCTGTGTGTTTGTTATTGCGTCTATTTCTCACCCACAGCCTTCCCCACTCGGAAACATGTTCATGCTGAGCTGGTCCTGGCAAAGTGGTGCCCAACAAGGGGCTGAGATCCAGTTTTGCGCTACCTGGGGTTGCCCGATGGAGGTCTCTGATTGTCCATGGCCTGCTATACACCTCTGACTGACCTGACTGTCCTGTGTCCTGAGAGAACATCGACAGTGCCTCTACTGTTTGACGGGGTCAGGACCGGCCCTGTGTCCCGTTTCCCAGGTGCCCTAGCGGCCTCCATCTATGTCTGTTTTGGATCTACATTCACTGGCAAAATGCCTCTCTCTCCGGCAGTTAGTACGTATTCCGGGGACCTGCGTGGGTGCAGGCGTCGGGCCTTTTGGTTCTCTGGTCGCATCCCCTTGATTGTTTAGGGTCTGGACAGTCACGGCCATGTGTCCTGGCCTGTCACAACTGAAACAATTTCTCTTTGATTTCTGTTGCATAACTTCCTTTAACGCAGCTGCTAAAGCCATACCCTGGATTTGTGGTTCCCCAATGTCCTGACACAGCCTAATGAAATTGGTCCCGGCAGGGGTGATTTCTCGCTCTCTGTCTCTGTCTTTCTGGCAAGTGCATGCACCCTATAGCAAAACCCCTCCCCCTCCCCCCAAAATAGTCATGACTTTCCAGACAACCGAACCTCAATATAAATCTTAACACAATTTATATTGAGGTCTTACAGCAATAGTTAGTAATGCTCTACAGCAGGATTTAACAGAAATAATAATAATTACATTTCTCTATGTAATGACCATTCTACCAGGCTTTCCAAAAGATTCAATGTAGGCTTTTTTTTTTTTTTTTTTTTTAATTTTCTAGAGAGTGCATGTGCTTGCCAGAGAGACAGGAGGGAGAGGAAAAATGAGAAAGCACCCCTTATGGGAGATGTCACACCACAATCTCTTCTCCGTTTCTCCTCTTTGGATTCTGGGCATGAATGCATACGTGCCTGGCATGCGCCTCAAGCTGCCAGGCCCAGAACTTGAACCATGATTTCGGTCACGAGGAATTCAGCTGACTTAACCACCATGCCACAGGCTGGCCCACAACCTGGAACTCTTTAAGAAATTATACCTTCTTACAAGTCCATTGTAATTAAAAAGGATGAAAACTAGTTATAAGTTTTGTCAATCTAAACATATTTTTATATAGGAAGTGGATTCATGAAAATTTTTTTTTCACTTGAAAAAAATTTTTTGAGAGATTTTTGCTGTGATGTGCATGCACTCGCCAGAGACAAAGAGAGAAAAGGCAAGAAATCAGCCCCAGGGGATAGCCATGTTGCAATCCCTTCTCCTCCATTCTCTTTTCAGGATTTTGGGCACGTATGCACAAGTGCCCAGCGTGTCTTAAGCCACTGGGTCTGGAACTCGAACTGCGAACTGCAGTCGACTATGTGGGGGTCCAGCGACGTAACCATTACACCACCTGCTGGTCCCACTTCAAGTAACTATTCTCTGAGATATATTACTGTTTAATTTGTTTCAGTTTGCTTTTGTTTTAAAGGTTTGGTTATTTTCTTGTTGCTTTATTCTTACTGTATGTCAAACAGTAATCTAGTTTAAAAGTCAAAACTTGGGACCAGCAGGTGGCGTGGTGGTTAAGGCGCTGGACCCCCTGCAGAGCTGACCACAGTTCGAGTCCTGGACCTGGTGGCTTTCTCTCTCTCTCTCTCTCTCTCTGTGTGGTCACAGTAAAAAAAATATATAAAAATAAAATTAAATAAATAATTATAAAATAAATAAAAGTCAAAACCATCAAAACATCAAGTCAGAGACTCTGTACACTCTGCCCTTCTGCCCCAGACTGCGGCTCTTTGCTGTCGGGCTCATGACAATCACTGGGCTGTTTGCAGTTTGCTTCCAGCATCCCCACCTGTCTGCCCCAGGGCCAAAGTCCACCTTATGTTCTGCTTGAGATCACTGTTAAAGCAGAGGTCAGACCCTCACAGATGTTACTCTATTCTGTACTGGGATTTTGTGAGAGTCATGAGCTGAACTGGTTGGAAAAATACACAGGAAGAAAACAGGGCATGGCTTTGGAACTATACACTCTGTCCGGAAGCTACGTCCTGGAGAGGCAGTACCTAGGAGAACTGAGAATCCAGAGGCCGAGTCCACAGAAACCTGCTCAGTGCCTCCTGATGCTCTGTGTGTCAGCTGTGAGGACAGCAAACGAACTCAGAGTTCTGTGTTTGGGACCCGCAGATAGCGTAAAGGTTACGTTGCTGGACTCCCACGGAGTGGACTGCGGTTCACATCTCTGACCCGGCAGCTTAAAACTCACACCAGGCACATGTGTGTGCACCCAGGATCCCGAGAGGAGAAGGGACTGCGATGCGACCATCCCCCCGGGAGGGTGATTTCTTGCTTTCTGTCTCTCTCCAGTGACCGCAAACACCTTATAACAAAAATCTCTTAAAAAACAAACAAACAAACAAAAGCTTTCTATGTTGAAGCTCATAGCTGCACTGCCATGGCCTTGCTCCTGAAGAGCTGGAGACCCCGTGCTGCTGCAGGACGGCAACCTGACTCGGCTCTGAGGTACATCACCACGTGGCCGCCACAGGGATATTTATGACCTGAGAGCTTTAAATTGCTTTGCCTTCATTAAAGTAACATACAAATACTTTTTTAAAGATGGGTAAAATTTTATTTATTCATCCATTTATTTTAATTTGACCAGAGAGAGAGAGAGAGAGAGAGAAGAGGGAAAGTGAGAAAGCCAGCCACCAGATCCGGGACTCGAACGAACCACGGTCAGTCAAGTGAAATTGTCCAGCGCCTTAAACACCATGCCACCTGCTGGTCCCCAACATATGAATATTTTAAAATGTTTATTGTGGCAACAGCAACTTCTCCAGATTGGTATTTAATCACAATAAGACACTGTGAGAAAAACGCGAAACAGAAGAGTCTCAAGAGTTCCTTAAGCACAGTGCTATGTGTGACAGAGCGGGCCAGCTGGCCTGGCGTGGCGTGAGCACGCGGGCTGTGAGCGCCGTCCGAGGCCAGGCTTCACTGCTGCACTGCGCTGGCCACTAGCAGCACACAGAACGGCAACCCCGGAGGGCGGACCAGACTCCTGTGGTGACAGCACATCAGGCCGGAATGCAACTCACAGATGGCACTGCGTACTCAGACGGGACGACCTCCGAGTGCCTGTGAGGAATGGAACTGAAGCATGAGGCCAGGGCCAGTCAGAGGTGTGACGGGCAAGGCAGCTGGGTTCCAGGCCAACCGCGCAGCCCAAGGCTCACAGCTGCACTTGGAAACACAGCAGGTGTGTGCGCTTGCCCCGATCCCAACGGGGACGTGGAGAAGGACTGAGCGTGACTACTCCCTGTGGGCAGCTCTGTCTCTCCTCCCAGCATGCGCACATGCCTTACAACATTTCAAAAACAATAGCACGAGTCCATTTCCGTGCAAAATATTTTGAAATCCATGTGTAGCTGTTTTATAATACACAGGTTCCACAAATATTTTTGATGCTCCCGCATGATTTTTTAAATGCCCATCTCAGTCATATAAAAGATGTACTGCACATGCGGCACGCTCAGGGATGATACGCTGCAGGCGTGGCGAAGGACACGGGTCCTTCTGGGAACCAGCGGGAAGGAACCAGCAGCAGCAGTTTAACCAACGGGCCCTTACCGAGAGCGCCTCCCCACACTTCCCCGCTCTGTGAAGTCTCTGACATTAGGCAGTGAAGACATTAGCCCTGGGCACACAGGAGCATGGTGGCTAAGCGCCCTGGACTCCCACTACCTACCACTATATATTATGTCTACATCTTCTCCTAAGAACTTTTTATAATTTATTTACTTATTATAATCATTTTAAAGTTTTCTATAGGGCAGGACATTGTGGTTAAGGGTGCCGGATTCCCACATGTCCGAATGTGGCATGGTGGTCGAGGCACTGCACTCCCACATGGCTGACTGTGGTTCAAGTCCCAGACCTGGTGGCTTGCTTTCTCACTTTCCTTCCTTCCCTCTCTCTCTCTCACTCACTTACTCTCTGGTCAACTTTAAAAAAATTAAATTAAAAAAAATATTTTTTTTAAATAAAGTTTGCTATAGGGCATGTGTGCTCACCAAAGAGACAGAGAGAAAGGGAGGGATGTGAAAGCAAGCCACCAGGTCTGGGACTTGAACCACAGTCGGCCATGTGGGAGTGCAGTGCCTCAACCACCATGCCACCTGCTGGCCCCCAGTAAGGACTTTTTCTTAGTGGTGGCTTTGCACCCCACTGCCAGATGCCCTGTGTTCCATTTAATCCAGTTCGTTAATGGGGACCGCGGTGATTCCGCCTTGCCTTTCTCACTTGATGAATTGTGAACTGTTAATAAATCAATCAGAAAACTTTATATTCGTCCAATTAAAAAAATAACAAATTGGTCAAACAAAAAGGACAGGGCTAGCCACTGGCCTAGTGGCTAGATCCCAAATAGCCAACCACAGTTCAAGTCCTGTCCCTGGCAGCTTAAGAAACACAACAGGCGTGTGTGTGTTTGTGAGTGCCCAAAATCCTAACCGGGTAGAGAAATAAGAGAGAGGAGACCGTGGCAAGACTGTGGCCCATTGAGTGCTTTTTCCCTCTCACTAGCTCTTTCTCAGTCTGTCTCCTATAGTGAGTGCACATAGCCTCTGGCCAAAAAAGAAAAGAGGGGCCGGCAGGTGGCGTGGCGGTCAAGGTGCTGGACTCCCACATGGCTGACCATGGTTTGAGTCCCTAACCTGGCGGTTTGCTTTCTCACTTTCCCTCTCTCTTTCTCTCTGTCCCTTGCTGGTCAAATTAAAATAAATAAAATTACACAGTAAAAAATAATGTTTAAAAAAGAAAGAAAGAAAGAAAAAGAAAGCAATTCCCACTGGTAAAATTAAAGACCAGAATAATTTTCTTTTTTGAAGAGTTTATTGAGGCGGGGGCCAGTAGGTGGTATGGTAGTTAAGGGCACTGGACTCCCACATGGCCAACCATGGTTCAAGTCCCAGACCTGGCGGCTTGCTTTCTCACTTTCTCTCACTCTGTCCCTTTCTGGTCAAATTAAAACAAACAAATCAATTATTTAACTAATCAATTAAGTTAAGTAAAATAATCCTTTAAATACAGAATTAATTTGGAACCAGCAGATGGCAGCTATGTTGCTAAAATGGAGAATGGGTCGATCTTGTAACCAAGTGATTCAAGAAGTGAGATCTCCCATTGTTGATCAAGGTATGAGTCCCAGTTCTGGTTGCTCAAAAAACACTCTGGGTATATGTGCGTGCATGGTGAAATCACAGCAAAATGGAGAGATGGAGGAAAAGGGATTATGCAATGACCATGACCCCACCTCCTTTCTCTAACAAGTATATGCATCACTTTGCAATAAAAAAAAAAGAAAAACAAACAAACAAAAAACAGAATTAATTTATTTATTACTGTTTTTTTTTTTTTAAGAGAGATTTCTGCTATAGGGCACATGCACTCATTAGAGAGTCAGAGAAAGCGGGAAATCACCCCCAGTGGGATACCCATGCTGCAATCCCCCTGCTCCACCCTCTTCTTGGGACTTTGGGTACATGAGAGGGAGTAACACGCCATCTAGGAGCAAGCCTAGGGCGCGAGTCGTGGTCCGCCGCGTGGGAGTCCCGCACCTTAACCACCAGGCCACCCACCTGCCTGAACCAGAGATTTTTTTTTTTTTGAGAGGTTTTACCTTAGCATGCATGTGCTTACCACAGACAGACAGACAGACAGACACAGTGAGAGGGAAAGTGAGAAATAACCCCCCAGGGGTAATGTCCATGCCACAATCCCTTCTCCTGGGATCATGGACACACAGGCGGCACATGTACCTGGTGAGAATTTCAACCCTCCAGGTCTGGGACTCGAACTGTGGTCAGGTATGTGGGAGTCCGCATAACTGCTACACCACCTGCTGGTCCCCAGAATTTACTATTTTTTTAAGAGAGATTTTTGCTGTAGGGCATGTATGCTCACCAGAGACAGAAAGTGAGAAATCACCCCCCAGGGGGGATGGTCACGCCGCAATCCCTTCTCCTCCATTCTCCTCTCGGGATCTTGGGCACGCACGCACACATGGCCAGCATGAGTTTTAAGCCACTGGGTCTGGGACTTGAACCACGGTCAACTATGTGGGAGTCCAGTGACACAACCATTACATCATCTGCTGATCTCCACCGAGAATTTTTCTTAAAAAAGAAAAACACTTTATAAACAGTAGTAAGTCATAAATCAGAGCATTTTCAGGACACACTGAACCTCCATCATAAATCTCACAAGCCCACGCCTCCTCCTCTGTGCCCCTTTTTTCAACGGCCAGATGCCAGACGCCACGCACAGCCCCCATTACAGTGGAACATTACCTGCATTTAAAGTACACAGTCCCCTCGTGGCTCCCATCATGCTTTCCTCGCTCAGGGTTGTCCCACTCTACTCCTAGCCAGGGTCCTAGCAGAACAGAGAAAGCGCGTGAGCGAACACGTGGCGTGGAGGCCGCATCCAGGAGGGGGTGTCTCTGGGAACAGACAGTCATTCACCTTACACTAGGGAGTTCAACTGGCAGGTGCAGGTGGTACGTCCGAGTCAAAAAGCCACCAAAACGACAACTGCAGGCAACAGAACAATGAAGATCAAGAGTGTGCACCCCTTCCATGTGCCAAACCACCACTCAAGGCTCCGCCTCAGTTCTGGCATTTGCCATGTGCCACTCCAGCCTGCCGTCAGGAACGGGGGCTGCCGAGGCTGGGAGTGTGGGCTTTTCGCAGAGTCCTCGCCCCGTCTCAGGCTGTGTCCACCGAGGGAAGCCCTTGCTCAGGACACTATCCTCCACGGAGACTGAAAAGATCATGACAGACGTACAAGTCCCAGCCCTCGTCCCAACGAGGCAGGGCTGGGGAGGGCTGCCTCATCTTCAGAGCCCTGCGAGGGGCCAGCTGAAACCTCTGCCCCACCCTGCGGCCTCTCCTGGCTGTCCTTGGGTCCTGACCCCAAGAGTACTCCCTAAGAAACTTTTTTTTTTTTGGGAGAGGTTATTGCTGGAGGGCCTGTGAGCTCACCAGGAAGATAGAGAGACAGAAAGCGAGAAATCACCCCCCAGGGGAGATGGCTACGCTGCAATGCCTTCACCTCCATTCTCTTCTTGGGATCTTAGGCACGCACGCTCGCACACTCATGTGCACATGCGCCTGGTGTGAGTTTAAGCTACCGGGTCCAGGACTCAAACTATGGTCGACTATATGGGAGTCCAGTGACATAGCCATTACGCCAACTGCTGGTCCCCCCCCAAGCCGTGTGGGAGCTCAGACCCTGTGTAGGAGCTCAGACCCCAGCCCTGCGTGTGGGAGCTCAGACCCCTGCCCTGCCTGCCGTGTGGGAGCTCAGACCCCATGTGGGAGCTCAGACCCTGTGTAGGAGCTCAGACCCCAGCCCTGCGTGTAGGAGCTCAGACCCCTACCCTGCCGTGTGGGAGCTCAGACCCCAGCCCTGCCATGTGGGAGCTCAGACCCCTGCCCTCCCAGGTGGGAGCTCAGACCCCGTGTGGGAGCTCAGACCCCAGCCCTGCGTGTGGGAGCTGAGACCCTGTATGGGAGCTCAGACCCCAGCCCTGCCATGTGGGAGCTCAGACCCCAGCCCTGCCGTGTGGGAGCTCAGACCCTGTGTGGGAGCTCAGACCCCAGCCCTGCCATGTAGGAGCTCAGACCCCGTGTGGGAGCTCAGACCCCAGCCCTGCCGTATGGGATCTCAGACCCCTGCCCTGCCGTGTGGGAGCTCAGACCCCAGCCCAGCCGTGTGGAAGCTAAGGCCTGAGACTTGGTCTCCTCGCCTGACAACATGGGACCCATAACTGATATTTGTGAGTTACTGGCGTGATATTCAAACCATGGCACATACATGAAAACACAGGTACGGTAATGACTCTGTACTTGTCACCTTACTTTATTAACTAATGACCCCAGTCAAAACAGGGACAAAACTGTCCTCACACCAAGTACCTGCTCACGGACTTCCACGTCAACATGTCCCTTTCTGTCTGTCAAGTCAGTCCCTCGGTCCTCTCAAGGCCGACGTGCAGGAGATGTCCAGACGGCTTCCTAAAGTACACACCACTGGGGGGTGACCCAGCAGGTCCCAGCGAGGCCCGAGAGCCTGCACTGCTGACATAACAGGCGATGCTGCTACTGCTGGGACCACACCAGGAGCGGTGCTGCCTGCACGTCACCGACTGCCAGCACAGTTCTCAGCACAGAGGACACCACGGCGGGTCGGTCGGACGCGTGAGCAAGTTCCTGAACACAAGTCAGTCTAGTTTCTTACAGAAGTAAAAAACTCAAAATAACGTTCAAAATAGGAAATGACCAAACTATATACTATAGTCATTAAGAAATACAAGTAAAGTCACGCTGTGGAACATGTATGTGCAACTTTTTTTTTTTTTAATAACAAAGCAAGAAGTTTATTAAAAGAGAGGGAAAGAAAAACAGAGCTTCCAAGAAGGGAGGGCTCCCAGAAAACGGGATGCCCATAAAACAGCAACTTTAACCAATGCTGTGGCTTGGTGGTTAAAGTGGCTGAATCCCATATGGGTGACTAATCGGTCTGAATCCCAGACCAGTGGTATCGGGGGTGTGCGTGTGTGAGCGTGTGCCCATAACCCTGAGAGAATGGAGAAGGGACTGGTGTGGCCATCCCCCAGGGGCTGCTTTCTCTCGCTCTCTCTTTGGACAGCACATGTGTTCTACAATAAATTTTCTTTTTAAATAGCAGCATTAAATAATCAAATAGCAAATCATTTTTTAAAATCATAGATACCAAAGGACACTGTCACCCAAGTAAAACATCCATACGGGAGACGTCGATAGATCAGTTGTCGATCCCCTCAAAATCAGTGCAGTGAAGCGCTATGGAGAAGCCTACATAGAAAACTACACCAGAAACACACCTCCCACACACACTCGGACATACCTGCCACTGGAGGCACGATGCCAAAAAACCGCACTGTTGCATATTCCCCGTTAACTTCCACTCTTCGTCCAATGACATCTGGCGTCAGGGTGTCACTCATGATGACACAGCAGGAAGACAAAGTATAACATCTAGGAAGAAAAATTTTTTTCTAATGGTTTTAAGAATTTTTAAATTTAATTTTATTTATCATGATTTTTTAATTTACTACAGGACCCATGTGCTCATGAGAGTAAGTGAGAGTGAGAAAGTAAGGTCCGGGACTTGAACCATAGTCAGCCATGTGAATGTCCAATGTCTTGACTACCATGTCACCTATTGGTCCCAGATCTAGGAAAAAAATTACAACACTGACAAGAATTTAATACAATTCCCTTTATATATATAATGCATATGTGTTTATTTATACATTTTCAAATTTCATGTAGAGGGGCCAGCAAGTGCGGTGGTGGTTAAGACACTGGACTCCCACATGGCTGACAGCAGTTGGAGTCCTGGACCAGGCAGCTTGCTTTCTCACTACCCCCATCCCATTTCTGTTAAGTGCACATGCCCTATAGCAAATTAAAAAATAATAGTAATGGGGCTGGCAAGTGGCATGGTGGTTAAGGTGCTGGAAACCCACAGTGCCAACCACGGTTTGAGTCCCAGACCTGGGGGCTTGCTTTCTCACTTTCTCTCTCTCTCTCTCTCTGGTCAAAATTAAAAATTAATAAATAGGGGCTGGTAGGTGGCATGGCGGTTAAAGACACTGGAACTACACGTGGCTGACTGCAGTTCAAGACCTGGATCCAGTAGCTTGCTTTCTCATTTTCCCTCTCTCTCTCTCTCTCTCTCACTCTGATCAAATTAAAATAAATCAATAAAGTTAAAATAACTCTTTTAAAAATTAATAAATTTGGGGCCGGCAGGTGGCATGGTGGTTAAGGGCACTGGACTCCCACATGGCTGACTGTGGTTCAAGTCCCAGACCTGGCAGACTGCTTTCTCACTTTCTCTCTCTCTCTCACTCTGTCCCTCTCTGGTTAAATTTAAATAAATGAATTAATTAATTAAAAAAAATTTTAAAAATAAATAAGATAAAATAATTAATAAATGCAATTAAATTAATTCTTTAAAAAATAGTAATTATGGGACCAGCAGTGAGTGTAATGGCTATGTCGCTGGACTCCCACGTAGTCGACCGCAGTTCGAGTCCCGGACCTGGTGGCTTAAACTCACGCTCATGGTGAATGATCACACGCAATCCTCCTCCTCTTCTCCCTCCCCTCAGGATTTTGGGCACACATGCACACCTAGCATGTTTCTCAAACTGCCACTCTGAGACGGTCATTCATGAGGGATACACCGCCTTCACCACCACACCACTGCTGGCCTGGATCTGGCTTTTCCTGAGCCTGGCGTCGAGCCACATGGCTTCCTGCCTGCAGGGTGCTTGCATCACCATGTGCCACAGTGGCGGGCCGATCACCATAACCACTGTGAGCTACAATCCAGCTGCATCCATACATTCACACTGCTGGCAACCAGTCCGCGAGCCTTCCCGTGTTGCAGAACTGACACTTCAGAGTTTAACGTTAAGCAAGCATTCTCCACTGCCTTCTCCTCCAGGCCCGTTCTGTCTCTGTGGGTTTGACTATTCCGGATACTTCACATGCACAGACGCTCCAGATTTGCCTTGCCTTTTCTATGCCAGAGGGCATGTGTGCTGGGAGTGGGAGGTGAGGCCACCTCATAATCCCTTCTCCTCCATCTCTCCACGCTGTCATGATTTGGGGCACACACACACAGACCCAGCATGTTTCTCAAGACATGAGGACAGGAGCTGATGACAATCAGCCACTAGGCTATGGGGCCAGTCCACAATATTTGCTTTAAAAAAAAAAATTATTTAGGGAGCAGCAGGTGGCACTAGACACTCCCACATGGCCAACCATGGTTTGCATCCCGAACCTGGTGGCTTGCTTTCTTACTTTCCCTCTCTCTGTCTCTCCGTGTGTGTCTCTCTGGTCAAATTAAAATAAATAAAGAAAGAAAATTAATTATTTTTAAAAAATTCTTATTTATTTATTTTTTTTGGAGAGATTTTCACTATAGGGCGCATGCGCTCGCCAGACAGACAGAGAGAGACATAGAGACAGAAAGCGAGAAATCACCCCGCAGAGGGGATTGCCATGCCGCAATCCCTTCTCCTCCATTCTCCTCTCAGGATCTTGGGCACGCACGCACACGTGCCCGGCGTGAGTTTTAAGCCACCGGGTCAAGGATGCGAACCGCGGTCGACTACGTGGGAGTCCAGCGACATAGCCATTACGCTAACTGCTGGTTCCCTAATTCGTATTTAATTTTATTCATCATTATTATTATTTTTAATTTGACCAGGGAGAGAGAGAGGGAAAGTAAAAAACCAAGCCATCAGGTCCTTGAACCATGGTCATCCCTGTGGGAGAGTCCAGTGCACTTAACCACCAAGCCACCTGCCGGCCCCATTTTTCAGTGACTACCTTACTGCATTTAGTAAGAGTTCCTGCCATCCTCTCATGTACATCATGACTAATGTCAAAGCACCTGCCCAGTTACGGTACACACCCACAGCACGCCCTGTGCCACACGGCACTGAGTCACCTCACACCATTTCAAGCAGTTCCTCTCTCTAAAACAGCTCTCTAAAACAAATGCACGTTATTCTTTTGAGAGAGATTTTTGTCTTGGGGGATGTGCCCTCGCCAGAGAGACACAGAAAGACATAAAGCAGGAAATCATCCCCAAGGGGGGGTGGCCATGACACAATCCCTTTTCCTCTGTTCTCATTTTGGGATTTTGGGTGCCCATGCACCTGGCGTGAGTTTTGAGTTGCCAGTTTCTGGACTGAGACCACAGTCGGCCATGAGGGTGTCAAGCCACCTTAACCACCACGCCACCCGCAGGCTCCAGTGAATGCATTTTTATTACAAACTACAGGAAAGATTTAAAAAGAACAAATGAGCCAATGAATTTGTGCCTTTTCTTTTTCTTTTTTTTAAAGAGATTTTTGCTATAGGGCACATGCACTCATTAAGAGAGACAGAGAGAGACAGAGAAAAAGCAAGAAATCACCCCCAAGGGGGGATGGCCACACTGCAACCTCTTCTCCTCCATTCTCCTCTCGGGATTTTGGGCACACACGCACACGCGCCAGTATGAGTTTTAAGCCACTAGGTCTGGGACCTGAACCATGGTAGACTATGTGCGAGTCCAGTGACATAACCATTACACCACCCTTAATTGCTAGAAGGCACATGTGGTCACCGTCGACAGAGACAGAGGGAGAGAAGCTCCCCGCAATGGGGCATGGTCACAACGCAGTCCTTCCCCCCATTCCTCCAACTCTATGGATTTTGGGTACACATATGTCCACACTTGGCATGTTTTTAAGCCAATGGGCTGGGACTCGAATCGTGGTTAGCAACATGGAATCCTACTTCCTTAAACCCTGTACCTTTTCTCTACACACTTTCAAATACAATCAAATATTCTATAAGCAGTCCTCCACAAATGCATTCCAGCTGCGACCCCTAGTAACTGGCAAACTGGTGTCTCCCCTCTTCGGTCATCTCTGCCTTCTTCCTGGATGACACTCATTTCACACTTAGTAAGTCCAGCATATTTGCAAGTCATTTCTGCCACCTGCATTCCCAGCTGAGAGAGGGAAAGTGCCATATACCTCGGTTATAAACTTTTAAGCGCCAAGTACATAAATATACTATTAAAATATGTTAAACTGACTTAACTAAAACAAAATCAAAACCACAGAGAGGTTAACAACTGCTCGTTTTATTGCTGAATAGTCACATCTTATAAAAATAATCAAGTACTGAGCTGACTGAGGAAGACTGTTTAAGTAGCTTGAGGCCAGGTGGTGCCACATGAGAAGATTCTGGGTTCGCCTCCCGGAACCTCCCTGAGTGGCTGGAACTGGTGGTAGAACCTGGCCCGAAGGGCCTTATTGGGAGCATTTGTCTCTTTCTGTTTCTGTCTCTCTGTCACTAAAGAAATAAGTGGACTTTTAAAAATAAAGTTATCAAGAGGCCAGCAGATGGCGTAGTGGTTACATCACTGAATTCCTACATGGCCAACCACAGTTCCAGTCCCAGACCCAGAAGCTTGCAACTCATGTCAGGTGCGTGTGCATGGGTGCCGAAGATCCCACGAGGATGGAGAAGGGATTGCAGCACGGCCATCCCCTGGTGGGTGATTTCTCACTTTCCCTGTCACTATCTCTATCTCTATCTCCAGCAAGCACACATGCCCTCAGGCAAAAACATCTAAAATAATAACAGGGACCAGCAGATTGCATAATGGTTACGTTGCTGGACTCCCACATGGCTGACTGTAGTTCAAGTTCCGGACCCAGAGGCTTAAAACTCACACTGGGCATGTGTGCATACATGCCCAAAATCCCAAGGGAAGGATGAGGGAGCAGGGATTGGAGTGTGCCTATCCCCCGAGGGGTGATTTCTTGCTGTCTCTTGTCTCTCCAGAGAGCACACACACCCTATGGCAAAAATCTTTCTTAAAAAATAAAAATGAATAAAATTATTTTTAAAAGAGAAATATCAGAGTTCACATGATGCAGGACCAGCTCATGCATGATCTTAGAGGCCTCTCTAAAGACTTTGGCTTTTACTCTGAGTAAAAAGGGCAGCCCTTAGGGGACTTTTCTGGGGAGATGAGCTGATTGCTTTCCCTAGGAGGGGCACTCCAGATGCTGGGAAGTAAACAGGGACAGAGGCAAACACTGACTCAGGCAGCTACTGCCGTCAGCGGTCAGCGGGGAGACTGGCTTGGCAGTGGGCAGGGGGAAGGCTTGGAGTCCCGACAGATTCCGGAGGTGGAGTCAAGGCAGTGCCAACGACATGGGAAGCAGATGAGCCCCAGATGACGCTAACGGTGTTGGCCGTGAACATGAACTCACTAACCTGCGATCTGTTACGATGTATGCAAGCCAGGTCGAAGGAGACGCCACACTTACGGCCAAATTAAAGAAGTCTTTACTCAAAGCCTGCTGCTGCGAAAGAACTCACATCTCCCCACACCTCGCAGTCCAAAGTAAGGGGGACGGGGGCTTACAAGGGCAAAAACCACCTCCCGTTCCTGAATGGGGAGGCTGCATGCACTAGCAGGTTACAGAGGCTGTTAACAAGCGTTGCAATGGCCGAGGTTATGGCAAGGACATCTATGGGCGGGTAGCGGAGGGCATTCCTACTCAATTAGAAAAACCTTAACGGCCTAGGGCCCCAAAACGGCGCTTTCAGGAGGGCGGTAGGTGAATGGAGTCACCTTTGTCTACTGTCTCCCTTCTTCCGACCACCTGCCACCAAAGGGGGAGACCCGCGCTGGGTTCTAAGCTCCCCAGGGATGTGCCGGTCACGACACGTGAAGCATGAGCGAGCGCAAACGCTAAGCCTAAAGGGGAGACCGGCGTCACAGGGCACCCATCGCAGGGCGGCGGCCCTGACGCCCCTCCCCGGACCGCGGGGTC